TCTTTAAAAAAAAAAAAAAGAATAAATAAAAGTAAGACAGTATATGTGAACGCTCAGGGAACCATTACCAACCAATAAAACACAATACATTAGAGAAATGTCTCCTCCTTCAACTGTAGATAGAATTACACTACACAAACCATCCTCTACACCCCCCCAGATAATAAGCATCTGCTTCACAGGGCAGTAACTTAAAAATCCTGTTTAGTTGTTATAAAGCAATTAAAGTCAGGCAAATCAAACTAGCTTTATAAACACACATCACAGTTTTTAACCTGTTGACTTCCAGTAACAATTAAGAGAACATAATAATGGTTATTCAAGTTCTTCTCCGACCAGATGCCTGTGTGTGTCAGCGTGTGACCTGGTTAAGACAGGCTGAAAGGGCAACTCTCTTACCTGATATGTGTGCAAAATCTCCAGGAACGCTTTGTAGATGTCTGGTTGGCCCTGGAACCTGTTCTTGATTTTATTAACATAGTTGATGGCATGATTAAACTCCACAGGCTGATTGTTCTGCAAGGATGGGGCCGTTCCCAACGAGATTGTCACTGGTGTATGAGGCTGAACAGGTGGAGAGCGCGGGGATGCATACGGTGGGAGAGGGGGAGTCTGCTGACTGGCTGGAGTATGTGCTTGTAGTTGGGAAGGCTAAAAAGAAAAAAGTCATTATTCTCTTCAGGAACACAGATGATCTGACATAGGAAAAAAGGTCAAACTAAAGAGAAACAAGATGTCTGATCAACAAACATCCTTAATTCACTCTGGCCAGGCCATTTTAGCCCAACTTAAATCATACTGGGCAGAGGTGGGGGGTGCAAAGGCTCACACATTCTAATACAGATATTTTAGTCCCAAATTTTCTAAATACAACCTGAAAAGTGGCTGCATCTCCAATTACAGGGAAGAATTTTTCTAATGCAATTTTTAAGCTCACTCAACAGGTGCAAACAGAAGGGGGGGGGAGAACAACCAACCCTCACTCTCCGTATCTTTAATGTCAAAAGACACTTGTTGCAGAAATCCACATAAAAATCTTCTAAACTACCTCTGTCCAATAGAACTGAGGTGATGGCAATGTTCTTTCACACTGCACGGTCCTACCGAATACATCCACTAAGCCACCCGGGGCTACTGAGCACTTGAAATGTAGCCATTACAACTGAGAAACTGAATTTAATTAGTTTAAATTTAAACACAGCCATATGTGGCTAGTGGCTACAGTATCAGACAGTGCAGTTCTAGAATAAGAACATTCCACCACCATCATCACCACCATCAATAGGGTCTTCTGCTTGGCTTGATATGAACTAATCTGGTAAATGGAGTGACTTTTATAAAATGATGACCCTGTGGGCAGTAGCATAATCTGATCATCAGATGACCATTTCCGCCTGTGCTGTCAAAGTACTAGTACACAAGTAAAGCGGCCATCTGTTGGGGTGCTCATGGGTTCACTAGGCAGGAGGTGGAGACAAAACAAGTCCTTACAGGTTACGGATGTGTTGATTTAAACAGATATCTAAATATGTGGAAGGTAAATGTAAACCAACTTATAGGGATGTGACTATGGCATCTTCTCCGGTGAAATCATTACAACTGTTGTCTCTAAGTCTTATATAAAGGGGAAATGTCAAAGGAGGGTGCTCTCTAGGGATGCATTTTACATGATGCAAAGTATTCCAAGTGCTCACCTTGCTGACTTTGGCAGGTGGGGGCTGAGGAGCTGGCTGGGCAGGAGCTGGGGCTGACTGGGCTGAAGGCTGGGAAGGATGTTGGGGTGGTGGTTGAGGCTGGGGCTGGATGCCATGGGTGGGGATCTGATGAACCTGGCCAGGAGTTGTCACGTTCACCATGTCATTGGTTTGCACCTCAATCTTGTAGCCAGGGGGCAAGAAGGTATTGAAGCCCATAATCAGGTCAGGGTGGCCTTTGAACAGCTGGGACACACGACTAATCACTCCTGGAGTGTCAATGCTGATTAAAACAAAAAACAAAACACATACACACACACACACACACACACACACACAAACACAAAAATTAAAGTGGCAAGCTTGACAACACCCTATTAAGAAAAAAATACACATTCCACTAGGTTCTCTGAACAGGAAAACAACTAAAAATCAACCTGCATTATTACAAAATCAACAAAACATAAAGAACTCTGACATTGCAAAGCAATTTTAGCCCTATATTTAAAGAGGTTTGGTCACAATTTTGAACAGAATCTACATTCATGGTAACAGTCCTAACAAGCAGATACTCAAGAGTTAATCTAAAGCAGCAATTCCCATGCAAGATCCACCCTCTGACACATCAGTATAAATCATTATGTGTCTATGTTTTTCACGAATTATTCTAACAGTGAACCTTGCCAGAATATTAGTGTATCTTAAATCAACTCAAAGAGCCGGTAGCCTAATCATTACCAGTCTACTTCCCTGATTGAGGTGAAGTACTAAGAAAAATTTTAGTTAAGAAAAATTAACCAATAGGAAGAATACAAAGGTCTAGGGCCCGTAACTGTCATCAATAAGGCAATACATAAAATAAAAGCAAGACCCTAAAAATTAAACCCCCCAAAAGACCGCATCCTTTATCTTTTAGTGCATGAGAATGAGCCATATCCTCCCTCCAAAATCAACATTTCAAGCACAAAGCTTGAATACAACCACAGAGATCTTTTACCTCTGAGATTTAAATTCCTTCATGATGTCAAGGAAATCATTGTAGACCTGAGGCTGACTACCAAATTGCAGCTTCACCTGGTCAAGATAGGACAGCGCATCCTCCACCTGAGGTAGGGATAAATCTCAAGGTTATAAAAAGAAAATAAGCCAAGAATTATTAAAAAACAAATGATTTATGCCTAAATAAAATTAACGTACTAAATGAAATAAAAAATATAGTAAATATACATGAGAGTATTAAAAAATTAGTATGGATGCCAATAATAAGACTCAAGCTTAAAATAAAAATCAATTCATAAAATTTGTAGCCTTGCCTTGGATAATTTTGGGGAGAATGATTAGTGAAAAAATCATCACATTAATATAGTATTCACTTATTCATTCATTTATTCATTTCACAAACATCTACTAAGCTACAACATACCACACCAGGCCCAACATGAGGTACTAAGGAGTCAATGACAAGCCACAGCCCCTGCTCTACAGAAGTTCATTCACATCTAGTTGGGAATTCTAATACAGTGGGGTAAATGGGGGATCACTGAATGCCCAGAGAGCACATGGGAAGGGCACTTCTGCACTAAGAAAAACCCATGGGCACATAAAGGAGGGCTTCCCCAAGAAGTGACGTCTAAATCTAAACTGAGTCCTAAGAATGAGTACAAGTTAGCACAAACGAAGACAGACCTACAAAGAAAGTCAGAGGAAGCATCATGAGCAAAATCCCAGACAGGACACCATCTGGTACACTGGGAAAACTGAAAACAGTTTAGTTTGGCTGAAGGATCTGTGGTGAAAAGGAGGAACGTGGCAGGAAGAATGACAAGAGAAGAGACGGGAGAGCAAGCAGGATCTAGACCCCAAAAGGCCTTGTAAATCTTATTAAAAAGCAGTATAGGGGTGGCGTGCATGGGTGGTTCAGTCGGTTAAGCATCTGACTTCGGCTCAGGTCATGATCTCAAGGTCCTGGGATCAAGCCTCTAGTCTGGCTTGACACTCAGTGGGGAGTCTGCTTGTCCCTCTGCCCCTCCCCTCACTCGTGCTCCCACTCTCTCTCAAATAAATAAACAAAATCTTTAAAAACAAAACAAAGACCAAAAAAACAAAAACAAAAACAGTTTAGGGGTGCCTAGCTGGCTCAGTAGGTTAAGCATCCAACTCTTGATCTTGGCTCAAGTCATGATCTCAGGGTGGTGAGATCAAGCCCTGCATCGGGCCCTGGGCTGGGAGAGGAGCCTGCTTAAGATTCTCTCTCTCTCCCTCTCCCTTTGCCCCTCCCCCTTCATATTCAGAACTTTCCATACTGAAATGCTTCATTAATGATCAAGCTGATGGAACATAAAACTCACCAAGTTTGCAGAAGAAACAAAGACTTTGGAAGATATTTAAGAATAGCATTCACGGGGCGCCTGGGTGGTTTAGTCATTAAGCGTCTGCCTTTAGCTCAGGTCATGATCCCAGGGTCCTGGGATCGAGCCCCACATCAGGCTCTCTGCTCAGTGGGAAGCCTGCTTCTCCCTCCCCCAAACCCCCTGCTTGTGTTCCCTCTCTGTCTCTCTGTCAAAATAAATAAATAAAATCTTTAAAAAAAAAAAGAATAGTATTCACAACCACATGACAAAGGAAGATTGTCAAAAATAAACACAAAATTGTGAATAAAAAAGTAAGCATGCTATAGTATAATAATAATTACTACAGAGAGAAAAAGTGCAGATGCCTGAATCAAAGAAATTATGTGATGTGTTTATGTCTAGAGAAAAAAAGGTACTGGTCACAGTGAACTACTATTTAAATTAGTTATAAACCAACACTATGCTTAAAAAATACCCAGCATGACAACCACATTATAAATGAACTATCTGGGGGCCTGGGTGGCTTAGTCCGACTCTTGATTTTTGTCTTAGGCCATGATCTCAGGATTGTGAGATCGAGGCCTGAGTCGAACTCCATGCTGGGCTAGGAGCCAGCTTAAGATTTTCTCTCTCCCTCTGCTCCTCCACCCCAATAAACAAACATACTATCTGTATGTAAACATAGTGAGGAAATTCTCTCATTACCTAAAGTATAGTTCAACTCTTTACAAAAGAGTGTATGCGGCTCTAGGAACCACAGCTTAGAAGAAAACAACTTGGAGCTGGTCCTTCTGAAGCTACAGTCCTAGGGAAGTACTTGGGGAGGCCCCGAGTCTGCTGATGTATTTTCTTGGCTCACTTCAATAGGCATTTATTATTGAGGTCCCTAACCTCCTAAAGTTCACAATCTTGTAGGGGAAACAAACACAAACAACTGTAAAGAGAACTTGCTAAAGATGTGCCAAATATCTATGCTGCTAGCATTCAACAAGTAGCTAAATCACATCAAACATGCCTGAAATTATTCAAATCTTTGTCATCAATCTGCCAAAGACAAAAAACAAAGTATAGACAATGCTGATGCTTGAAATAACCTAAGTATTTTCACTGAACACTCCTCATTATAGAATATAGTTTATTGAAGTTGATTCAAATGCTTGTAAAGCATTTTAAGACTGATCCAAAAATGGCAGGCAATGTGGGAATACATTGAATGAAGCTACAATGGAGGTACAAAAAAGCATTTTACCCCTCCTCATCAGAACGGGAATTCAACATGTTATTGTATCCAGGAATCATATACAAGAGTGAGAAGAGAAGGAACAGAGCAACTGACTCCCCCCTTGACTCACTCTATAACCTCAACTCCAGAACCCTTTCTTGCTTCCTTGACTGTTTCTGTAAAACAGACAAGGCACATCTGTATACTTATACCCAAGTGAGGGAGAAGAGTAAAATAGTGCTGTGCTTTCATAGGACTGGCTGAAAAAGCCTATAGAAATACACATTTCTGTTAGTTTAACAGCAAGTTTAGAAGCTCTTTGGCATCATTAAGGTATTAACCAATTGCTGAATTAAATCATACCAACCAACTTTAAAAAATATTTTCAGGACTTTGTGAAATGCTAAGTTCATGGCAATAATACAGTTTGGTACACAGCCATCACTCTACAAGCAGACAGGCAAAATGTTTTAAGAAAAACATCAATATAGCTTACACAAATTTTCCCAAAGATAGAGCCCAGAGTGAAGTTTCAGGCCCAAATAATTTGTATTCTCTTTAAAGACTATGCCTAAGTATAGCCAACTCTTTTTTTTTTAAGTATAATCAACTCTTAATTACTTAATATAGACAAAATAAATTTTACAAAATCCCTCTATATAGTTTAGTTTTGGTATGCTTTATATTTATGTAGCATTTAGTTTCCTTAGGCCAAAATTAAACAAGTCCCTGAGAACTCAAACCAATGTGGGCAGGGATCAGGGAGAACTAGATTTAAGTATCAAGGAAAACAGAGGGCTGAAATGTTTGCTACACATGGAAGTACCCTTCAAGGGTATACCTTTCATTCCCACCTGGACACTATTTAATTAGGCTGATAGGACCAAATGAAGACCCAACATCCCATTTCTTTATAGCTCTTTAATTTGTATTTCTTGCAACTCGATTTGAAATTTTATATAAGGGCGCCTGGGTGGCTCAGATGGTTAAGTGTCTGCCTTCGGCTCAGGTCATGATCCCAGGGTCCTGGGATCGAGTCCTGCATTGGGCTCCTTGCTCAGCAGGGAGTCTGCTTCTCCCTCTCCCCCTGCTTGTTCTCTGTCTCTCTCGCAAATGAATAAATAAAATCTTTAAAAAAAAAAAAAAGAAATTTTATATAAATGTAAAATTAGAAAAAATGAAATCTGGAACACTTACTCCAACAATCACTTATTTTGAAAAGTAACATTCCAGTAAGCAGAGAGAGGGTTAGCTGGGAACACAAGCTCCACTTCTCCACAGATGCCTCATGAATTTCAAAAGCACTGAAAACCTACAGCACATACTCAGCAGAACAGATGAAAACACTGACACTTCATTCACAATTATAGTCTTCCCCAATCTTTATAAAGGTTCCCAAAAAAGGAGCATGTGTTTTACAAGGACGGACTGGAAGATGCCAGCCCATTCAGCTATTTATAAGCAGGGATAAAAAGATTAAATCGTAAGGTAATACTGGACCCAGTTACTGTACAGGACCGTAGCCAACCATGTGTATGCTCAATAAAACCTTCTGCCATACTAAGAACTAAGAGTTCAAAAGGAGATATCCAAAAAAATGGACCTTGTTTATCGCGTACGAAAAGAGTCCCTCTATCCTGACACGTCTGAGTACCATGCATTCATACATTCCAAGAACATTTCTTGAATGTAATTCTCTGGATCAGGCACTGAGGGTAAGATGGGAAATCTAAGTAAGGTTTCAAAACAAAAACAAAGTAAAACTCGTGATTCAACCCCTAGTCTGGCATGTTAAAAGTTATAATGCCACTACTAATAGACTGAAGCCGATGCTTCCTGCTGAGAGACAGAACTTTTTAATGGAAGAAGAGGAGCTGAATATCACCTTAAGCCTCTGAAATTGCTGCTGTCCCTGCACTGGTGCGACTGGCGGGGCGGGATGAGCATGACTCTGGACCCCCTGGCCTCCATGGGGCTGCACAGCGGCCGGGTGATGGTGGCCACTGTGAACCGCTGTGATGCTGGGCCCGTGACCGCCAGAGCTCGGAGGCACTGCTGAAACCTGGGGCGACAAAAGGCAGACAAAAAACGTCAAGGCTTCTACATTCTTCCCCAGATGCATCTAGAAGACATGCATGCGTACCTTTGCACACACACACAGAATTACAGCTCTTCCTTGACTTACGATGGGGTTACAACCCGATAAATCTATTTTAGGCTAAAAATATCCTAAGTTGAAAATGCATTTCATACAGCTACCCTATCAAACATCATAGCTCAGCCTAGCCTACCTTAAATGTGCTTAGAACACTTACAGTAGCCACAGTTGGGCAAAATCATCTCACACAAAGCCCATTTTATAAGAAAGTGTTGAATATCTCAGGTAATATGTTGACTACTATACTAAGAGAAAAACTGGAATGGCCTGAGGGTATCGGTTGTTTACCCTCGTGATCATATGGCTGACCAGGAGCGGAGGCTGCCACTGCCCAGCATCAGACGAGAGTATAGTACTTCAGAGTGCTAGCCTGAGAAAAGACCCAGAGTCAAAATTCCAAGTATGGGTTCTACTATAAATCACTTTCACATTATCATAAATTTGAAAAATTGGAGGGGCGCCTGCGTGCCCTTAAAAAGTTGTTAAGCGTCTGCCTTCGGCTCAGGTCATGATCTCAGGGTCCTGGGATCAAGCCCCACATCGGGCTCCCTGCTCATCAGAAGCCGGCTTCTCCCTCTCCCACTCCCCCCCTGCTTGTGTTCCCTCTCTCACTGTCTCTCTGTCAAATAAATAAATAAAATCTTAAAAAAAAAAAAAGAAAAGAAAAATTGGAAGTCAAACTATCCTAAGTCGGGGACCATCAGTAATTAGAAACTCTAATTTCCCACAAAAGGGAACTGGTGAAATGAAATCACCCATATTACAACAGAATTCTCTGCCACTATTAAAAACAGAATTCTCTGCCACTGTTAAAAATTATATGGCTCAATACTTCTCAAACTATCTATGGCAAAGGTCCCGTTTTGTTTTTTTCTTCAATTCCAATCCATCATGGGCCACTACTTTTATAAAATACGATAAAAATGAATTACTAGAGAAGTGAAATGAAAAATAAGCCCGTAATTTCCATTCCCACATTTTACAGATATATTACAAAATTACTATGTCCAAATTGCTGTAAGTTCCTAAATACTCTCAATTTCTATACACGTCATAATAGACTAATAATAAACTATGCACATCAGCCATCTGTGGACCACACTTTGAATAGCACTAATATAGATACATGTATTTTCACATTATAAAATGTTCATAATCTCTGAGTTAAATGTATTCATGTGCTGCATATGGTTTTAAACTTCTAAATATTTTTTTAGAAAGCAGTATCTATGAATCAATAAAAAGATTTTAAACCTTAGGTGACAAATATATAGCAAAATGTTAGCATTTTATCTTGTGGTGATGGAATTAGAGATGACTTTTATTTTGCTTTATTTTGCTTATCCTTATTTTCTACTTCTATCCCTATTTATTTTGCCTATCCTTATTTGCTAAACAAAACTTTCTTCCAAATTGTTAGTGGTTTGGCCTCAAACATAATTCATCCTCTTATAAGCTTAGAGTGAAATAAAACACAAGCTCCTTTCCTTCCATTTCTATTGCGAAAAATGCTACACAAAATTTCCAAAGCTTTTTTTATTTTCCTGTTTCAGAACTGTTAATCACCACAGAAGACAACTAAGGAAGGACAATATCCTTGATTTGCACATCTCCAAAATAAGAAGACTAAACAATGTGAGACTTAATCTAAACAATGGAAGTTGTATACTACAATGTAAGAGAGGATTAATTTTTTTTTTTTGAAGTCCCCACAAATTTATAAAGATTCCCCTGGACAGAGGGGAGGGTGGGAAATAGACAACTACTTACAAATCCCCACAAACAATAGTTACACATTAGGAGTAAAAAGAAACTATTTGGACAATTCTGAAAGCTCTAATATATCTCTAGCAAGAAGGATTATTATTCTGAGCTTCTATATTCCAACATACATGTTTTGAACAGTTTTTTAAAAGGCTTAATTGGAGCATAAATACTTGAGATGACTAGTTTTATGTGAGCACATTATAGTTTCTAATATATGAATAGATGCAACTATCCCAAGTATAGGAAACAGTCATCAATCTGTTCAGATAAAAGTAATCACCCAAGAAAAACAAGCAACCTTTCTTTCTTCCAAGATCTAAATTAAAGATTCGATTTGCAACAGTCCTCTGACTGTGGCCCTCAGTCTCATAGGAGGGCATGGTACTACTGCAAGGGGGACTCCTGAGAAAGAACGACACCTAAGGAATCACCATCTCCTACTTCACCTGGATTCCCCTCTTCCTTGTCTTCTTATAATAAATTCTGAGAAATTTATGGAGTTATGGAATTGCTAGGTCAAAAAGTAATTAAGGAATCTGCCACAACTGTCAAATTGCTCTCAAGAAAGGTTACACTAATTTATGTTTCCAGTACTAGCCATAACTTTTTAAAAGTCACTAACATGTTAGGTTGAAGAAGGCCTCTCCAGACCAGTTAAATAAATTATGATTCAGACTGACCTAGAATGGAATATTATAAATGCAGTGATTTCTTAAAAATTACTTAGATCTATACATATGTATTTAAGTGGAAAGTTGTCCACTATACATTAAGTGAAAAGAGCAAATAGCAGAACAGTGTATACTGTATCATTCAAATTACATAAAAATAGAAGTGTATGTAGATAGGTAGGCAGGTAAGTATAGATACCCAAGAAATCATGAATGGCTCAAAGTCTGAAGGGTCAGAGAATGAAGTGATCTTGGATCATTTTTCCAAAAAAAAAACAAAAAACAAAAAACCATGGTGATATTTACTTTCATAATTAAAAAAGGCAAAAAACAAATTTCTTCCATTTCTACAAAACAGAGTAAAGAGATAAGAGATGAAAGATCAGCACTGGTCAGGGCATGGAATGATAGGAATATACAATGCTGGTGGAAATATAAATTGGTACAATTCTGAAAAACAATTTGACATTACCTGCTAAAGGAGAAGTCGCACACACCCTATGACCCAGCAATCCCTCTCCTAGATACCCGAAAAACTCTTCTTCATGTGCCCTCAAACCTGCTGAGCGGGCTGCAAGAAGATAAGGAGTTTGCACCACAATGTAAACCAACTGCTTCACTAATAAGCACACTATTTAATTCAGCTGCCTTTGTTTCCCCATGGCAACACTTTCTTTTTTTGATTTAAAACAAAGTAGCACATTGATTTAAATTCTGGTGCAAGTTTATCTTGTCATGGATTGCCACTGTGAGCACCACTGCACCAGGAGAAACAGTCACACAGCACCTTTACAAATAAAAATCTGGTATCAGCCTGAGAATCTGGTACAGCAAAAGAAAAATGGATAAGTTGATGGGATATATTCATATAGTTCATAAAAGAGTGAAAATGACTCAATTATTTACACACAAAAATAGGGGTAAGCCTCGGGAACCAAACTGAGTGAAAAAAAGTGAGTTAAAGAAAAATATATAAGGGTGCCTGATGGCTCAGTGGGTAGAGCATGTGACTCTTATCTCAAGGTTGTAAGTTTAAGCCCCAAGTTGGGTATGAAGATTACTTAAAAATAAAATCTTTTAAGGGGCTCCTCGGTGGCTCAGTCAGTGGAACATGCAACTCTTGATCTTGGGGTTGTGAGTCTGAGTCCCACACTGGGTGTAGAGATTACTTAAAAACATTTAAAAAATAATAAAAAATTAAAAACCTGTGTGGTGAGTACCCAAATATACATTGTTTTTGTTATATCTTACTTATAGATATCCTATAAATACAATTTTGTATCTAACTGGATGCTTAATACAATTTTTTTTCATTGGACGTAATCACCAATGCCCCTCCCTTACACTGAGTCCCTTGCTGGGCTCCAGCTTACCTGATAGCTGGGTGTCACGGAGTACTGAATTCCCGTGGCTGACTGCATGGTCTCGGACACTGTTTCATACACAGGAGGGGCAGGGGCAAGCACCCGGTGCTGGTGAGGAAAAGCCTCTGTGCTACCAGGGATCCGACGCTGCTGGGCCGCATACACCGGTGACTCCTGGTCATCCAAACGTCGCTTCATTCTGCGCTCATGCTCAGGGATGCACCACAAAACCTGCAGAAACCAAAAGCATCGATATGCAAACCAATTCACACCCCAATGTGATGTGTACAACTTAGGACCAGTCGCCCAAATTTACTATAAGCTCAACTCCCAAAACGAACTATTTACTTCATCCTGAAGATGATCACTGGCTAGTTTAAGTGCATGCTTGCACACACAGGCCCCACAGTGGACAGTGTATCACAACTCAAAGACAGAAGTTTAAATAATAAATAGTCTGAATTAACCTAGGACTATGGAGTTGAAAAATAACCTCCAATTTAAAAACACAAAAATACACCTTTCCTTTCTTTATTCTCTAGTTTTCTTCTCAAATGCCATCATTCCTAACGTCAATGACACATTCACATGCTACAAAAACATTCAAGTGCTTCTTTCTAACCTCTCAAAACCTAGTACTATAATTGTGGTCTAATTTTTAAAATATCAATTGTTTCAACAATTAGATGCTATCATGAAAGAGCAGTAGGCCAGGAGTAAGAGGATGATGGCTCTAGACTTGCCAACTTAAGGAGCTATGTACATTTCAACAAGTTCCTCATTCTGTGTGAGTTTGTTTCTCCAACTATAAAATGACATGGTTGGGGGCGCCTGGGTGGCTCAGTCGTTAAGCCTCTGCCTTCGGCTCAGGTCATGATCCCAGGGTCCTGGGATCGAGCCCCGCATCGGGCTCCCTGCTCAGCGGGAAGCCTACTTCTCCCTCTCCCTCTCCCCCTGCTTTTGTTCCCTCTCTATCTCTCTCTGTCAAATAAATAAATAAAATCTTAAAAAAAAAATGACTAAAATAACATGGCTGGAAAAGATCATTTCTAGGTTATTTCTGACTCTAACATTCCTTAACACTAAGGAGATTCCAGAATCCCTTATTAATAATATTCCTCTGTGGAAGGACACTTTCTTCCCTGCAGGACACTAAAAGTCTAGTAATATTCTGGCTAGGAATCCAGTCTGGTCTTTTCAGGGCTTTTCCAACATCCAAAGCTTCTTCAAGGTAGGGTTCTTTACAACTTTGTCTGCATTCCCCACAGTCCTACCACATCACACACTCAAATACTGACCATGCAGAAGGGAAAAAAATAAGAGTTAATAGTTAATATAATATTTAGTATATAATGAATCCCAAGCACCATTCTACACAATTTATAAGTATTATTATAATCCCCACAACAACCCTATAAGCAAGGTGCTGTTATTCTTTATTTTATAAATGAGGAAACTGAAATATAAGGATTAAGTAAACTGCCCAAGGCTGCACAGCTAATAGGCAAAGCTGGAGTATCAATCCACCAAATCTACCTCCAGAGCCTAAATTCCTAACCACCTCAGTATCTCCCACCTCTCACAGAATAAGAAATAAAGGGAGAAGAGTCCCTTTACTTATTTAAGACATGCATGCACTGAGCAACTTCAGCTTTCTTTAACCTCTCCCACACTTAGCTCATTCATCCTTTCACCCTCAACCCAACAAAGTGGGAAGGCTTTGGCAGCGTTCACTCTTTCAATTAGCAAATACTCAAGGAACAGATAAGAAGGTGGTAGGTATCCTATAAAAGCTTTAAAACTACTTGGGAAGACCATATACAGCCTCACTAGTAATCAAAGAAATATAAAGTAAAATGATACTTACCCCCAAAGCAACAGGCAAAAATTAAAAGAAAATGATGATACTGAGTGTGGGTGAGGGTAGAGGGAAATACTACTGGCAGAAGTTTTCATTGGCATGGACTATGTGGTTGGCAACTTGTGGTATCCATTAAATTTTTAAATTTAAAATGGTCATACCCTTCTACCTAGCAATTCACTTCCAGGTGTCTATCCTATACATCTGCCAAGTATATTTACTGCAGCAAAGTACGAAAAAATCTAAATGTCTATCAATAACTGAACTTGATACATCCATATTGGGAAAACTATGTAGCAATTATAAAGATTGGGGTTCCTCTATAAAGAAAGTCCTCCAAAACATACTATTAAATGAAAAGAACAAGCTACAGAATATATACGGTGTGATTTCAACACCCACACACAATGTATTCTTAAGATTGGTGCATCTCATTGTAAATTTTGCATCAGAAGGAAAAAGCTATAAACAAATACTGAACTCAAGATAAGGATAGCATGCTCAAGTACTTAGGTGAAAGTGTACTAATGTTTGAAATTTACTTTGAAATACATCGAGAAAATAGTTTGGATTAATAGATGGAGGAATGCATATATGACAAAGCAAGTACTATAAAAATGGTAATATAAAATCTAGTGTGTATATGGGTATTCACTATGAAACTCTATTGACTTTGCTGTGTATTTGAAATTGTTCTTAATAAAATGTTGGGAGGAAAGGCTAACAATACAAACCAGTTCATGAGTGGTACAATACTATAGTAAGTACTATAAATTTGGTAAGGAGTAAAAATGTGTACACTGGAAAAAACTCTACAGAGAAGGTAAATGTTTGGTTTTATCTTGAAAATTAGGAATGAATTAGGGCACAGGGGGTACACAGGATGAGATTAAAATATTACAGTAACTTTGGACTTACAGGTGATAATGAGCCATTTACAGTCTTTGCCAATTCATTTACTCCACAAATAATTCCCAAGAATCTACACACGCCCAGACCCTGTGCTTTATGCGGGGGACCAGCACTGAATAGGACAGATTTCCTGCCCCACAACGAATCTTCCAAACATGACTGCTGTTAAGTCAATGTGCTCCTCCCACGAGTCCTGTCAGATGGGCACACCCAGAACACTATTTAGAGGGAAAGTGATACTCAAAAGAAATTAAGTGACCTGTTCAAGGTCACATGGCAAGGAGTTAGACTCTTTCTCCTTGGAATGCATGACCAATCTGGAGTAGAAATACTGGACAGACAATAGTATCCTGCTTGCAGAGAGGTACAGTGAAATTCCAGACTATGAAGTATTCGAATGCCAAATAATGGAGCCACAAGAGTCAGACACAGAGCTACTTTCAAGCCCTGCTTCAGCTGACATGATTTTCATCTGCTACTATGGTCTCCAACTGTTTCAGATTTGGAGCTTACCCTGTTATCAGAACTCTAGTCTATGAAGACAGAATTTAAACAAGGAAAAAAGCACTTTGAAGGACAGAAACTAGTGAAGAAGGACTAATGTGAACAAACAATAACAGAACACTAAAAAGTCACCTGGCCATGTGTTATAATAAAAAGCGGGGATAGCTCCAAATCATCATGCGAAGAAATCATAATTCCCAAATAAAGCAAGCAGAGCCCGATAATTCTGATATTGCAGGGCAGTCTTCTGGAATAGGGTAGAACAACTGACAAGTCACTGTGTCACATTTCAGACAAATTTTAGAAGGGCTGAAGTAAAAGCTAACCCTTTCAGAACGATAAATATAAAAACCAATTTTCTAGTTCTACAACCCAAAATGTCCTTCATTACAGTAAAAAGTTGGCCTCTTAGAAATTCAGACAGTTCTCCATGCTTATTAAAATCCAAATGGAAAATCCAACTTTAAAAAATCTATCTTTTCATTTAGATTAAATTTTACAAATCAGGGGCACCTGGGTGGCTCAGTAGGTTAAGCATCCAACTCTTGATCTCAGTTCAGGTCCTGATCTCAGGGTTGTGAGATTGAGCCCTGCTTTATTTATGTATAAAAATAAATAATAAATAACAAATAAATTCATAAATTGGCTTAAATACAGGTAACAATTTAAGTCAAAATAAGCTCAAAGTAAGAGAGTGTATGGAACAAACTAAACTGCTCTATCTGGAGGCTTTTAAGCATACAACTTTCTTTTGGAAATGCATTTATTTTATGGTTGACCCTTTACAGTGCCTCTTAATTTTGTACTGTTATCCTGAATTAGCCAAATTTTTAAATTCCTTTATTTATGTAATTAAAAAAATCCTCTGAAATTATTCTCTTATTGGCGGTCAGCATCACATAAAATCATATTAAAATGTGTCCTGGTCAGTTTACATCAATAAATACTGTGGAAAAATGGAAAATTTCTCTTCAAAAGCAAATAGATTTTTATCAAAGCATATAGTGAAATGTAATTATGTACTTCAATCCAGTGCAATTGCCCACCATAGTCAACCTCAAAACCTGTCCAAAAATCCACTTTTGGAGGGGCACCTGGGTGGCACAGTCAGTTAAATATCCAACTCTTGGTCTTAGCTCAGGTCCTGGTCTCAGGGTTGTGAGATCAAGTCCTGCATCAGGCTCTGCACTCAGCACAGTGTCTGTTTAAGACTCTTTCTCCCTCTCCCTCTGCCCCTCCCCCTGTGCACCCTCACACACTCTCTCTCAAATAAATAAAAATAAATCTTAAAACAAAAAATCCACTTCTGGATTTAGATCTGCTAGAAAAGGAAAAGTATCCCAGAATAAATGAAAAAGGCAATCTATTTAGATTTTCTATTTTACAGAGACTAATAGCTCAACAAAATTAACAACCCATTCTTCTTAAAACACAAGATCTAATACCCAAGCCTCCCAGAATCAGTTTTACATTCTTCTAATGAGGTGGGCCTCAACCAGAATAGTTTGCCACCCTCCCGGGCACATTTGTCAATGTCAGAAGCCATTTTCTGGTTGTCACAGTTAGGGGAAGGAGTGCAACTGGCATCTCATGAATTCCCAAACATCCTAAAATGCACAGGATAACCCCCCACAACAAAGAATTATTTGGCCAAAATATAGTAGTGCCAGGTTGAGAAACCTGGATCTAATATAATGCTAACCCCATTTGGTACATACCTTTTGTGACCTTTGGTGGGATTATGTCATACTGTGGTATGACAACAATTTTTAGCAAGGTAGCTCAAAACAGTCATCTTGATTCAAAATATATCTCTCATGTGACTTACCTTGAACCCTTGGTGTATCAGAAAAACTTATCATTTACCATTTGGGTGAAAAACAACTTTATTAGAAACTTTAAGAACTTAAATAGAAGGAGTGCCTAGGGGCACCCAGGTGGCTCAGCTGGTTGG